CGCTCAGACATACCTATAAACCTGCCCTACTTGCACACGCTGACACAATTTTCTTCCTTCCCACAAACGTTATTTCACTGATACTAACATTTTTGATCACAGGCATTCTAAAGAAGCTCTTTCCTCTAAATTCAACACAGTGAAACTTTCAGCATCCCACACATAGCGACAAGCAAGATCTAAACAAATAGTGATTCAAAGCACATGCAACCCCCAACACTCTAACTACCAGGCTCTACCTGGTCCAGCCTCACTGTGCCTCTGCCTCCAGCATTCCCTGAGCAAGCAGAGGAGCGTTACCAGCCCCACAGCTGCTTCATGCAGCCAGCAAGGAGTTGGAGGATGCTTCCAATTCTGGGAAGGAGAGGAAGTAGCACTGACAGGGAGCTCTGTAGGACAGGGGCTGTAAGAGAAGAGCATCTCTGCATCCTGCTCAGCCCCATCAGCACCACAGCTAAAAGCCCACCAGGGACTGGCTTCACCCCCTCCACTCCCCCCAAGACATGGAGTAAGATAACAAATTTACAGACCATTTACAAAAGACCTTCTTTCTTAAGATTCCACTCAAAAAAATGTCTATATCCAGGTGAAGTCTTAATGGTACCATACAGAGGAAATACAGTTACTCATGAGGAAGCACGGGAGACTGCACAAACTGTGGTAATTTATTACCACAATCATGCCTGCTTACTTCACCTGAGATACACGAGCCTATTAAGCACAACAAAAAAAAATATTAATTCCATTTAGACACACATCCAGCTATCAAAAAGGTCCTTAAAAATAATAATTTAGGTACCATTTGTGAAACAAATTATTTCAAAATTAAAAGCATTCAACTGCTGAGCTACTCCTTAGTTACTGCAGTTCTAAAAGTAAGAGTTGGATAATTTGTGTAAGCTATTCATGTGCCAAAAGCAAACACCCTATGGAAAAGGGAGCAAAAAGGCACAGGAGTAGGCAGATATATCCAACCAGTACTCAAAGCAATTTTAATTGGTATTTTCCAAATGAGTACATTCCAAGATGATTAAGTTCCTTTAAAAAACACAAAGCATGTCTTCTGTACAACATCCCTTCCAACTCCCATTATTCTGTCTTCTTCCTCTGTCAAATTCCACAGCACTGCAATTTCATCCACTGACTTGTTGATATCTTATTTTAAAAAAGAAAAAAAAAAAAAGTTGAATTACTTCCAGCTAAATATTCTGGCAGGCATTTTGTGATTAAAAAAAAAAAAAAATTACATTTAGATGTTCAAAAATCCATTCAAGTCATGCTCATTCAAAGCATTAGCATGCACATTGGAGTTGCTTCTCTTAACTTTTATTAACACATACATTAGGTTGAAATAGTGCAATGTAAGCAGCAAAACAAACCACACTTTAAAAAGGGCTAACAGCAACTTCATATCTGAACATTGTTTTTGATATGAAATACCATGCTTTGTACACATCCAGGAGAAAAATCAAAGAGGGTGCTCAAGCATGTATTTGTAGCTTTGATGGAAATGAGACTCCCACTAGCTCTTAAGCACAAGGTTTACCAACAAACCCAAAGTTCTAGATATTAACTAAGCTCTTGCTCTTAGTTTGACTTAAACCAAGTTGATTTTAGAGTTTTGCAGGTGTTGTCTACACTTTCCTTGTACACAGATCACCACTACAGCGTTTATGCATAAACACACAAACTGAATCAGGCAGAGAACAAAGAATGGGCACATGCAGTCACAATACTCACTCAGCACTGCATGTACTACTGTGGATTTCTCTCTTTGGTCTTTTTTCCCCCCCTTTCAGTTTGTTGGTTGGTTTTTAAAAACTCCATGAATGCAGCAAACATCTGCAGCCATCCAAATGGCGGCCGTAGCTCCCCAGAGCCCACTAGAAAGACCACAGACTGTGCCTCTTCATCAGCTATATCTTGACCTGGAGGCAGCTTCCTTACTGGTGCTATTGCTAACTGTAGATCTCCTTGACAACGCGATGCCTTCTTCAACTGTCCTGTTTGCCCAAGCTGCATTTATAAATTTGCACGTGACCGCCCACATTGTTAAGAAGAGGTGTGCTGCACTGCCCAAATTGAGGGAGTGCACTGCTAAAGGGAGAATGAAGCAGGATGCACAACATGCCTTCCGAAATGCAGGCAGGCAAATTCTTAAGTACCAATCCCTTCTTTCTAGATTTTCCATTATCAGTGATAAAATGTAAGAAGTTTCTGCTTAACTAGGGATAACATACAAGATAATTTGGAACAAAAACCATGAGTGCTGCTTCTTTGTTATCTATTTCTATGAACTCATGATGACTCTTTCTTCAAAAACCATTTGCTCACTAAAAGAGATGCATATTTTGGACATCCTTTCAAAATAAGCATGGAGAACGAAGCACAGTTTTATGGCACTAAGTGTGGCACAGAATTTCCTAAATGACTCCTCTTTCAATAGCTAGGAAAAAGCAGTGCATGCATGCTTTTCACGGACATGAGAAAACAGTTAATAAAAGCTACAATATAACAGTATTTGTCACTTTTGTTTATAATGTTTGTATCTGTCAAACTTTGTTTTCAACAGGAAAGCATTGCTTATTTTAACCTGGTGCAGAAGAATTCATAAATACGCTGGTTCGTAGAAGTATAATTAGAGGAACTGCTAACTCCTCAAATAAATAAATGTGCATCTATACAAACTTAGGAAGACTGGAAAAATACAAACTCCACCTAGCACTGGAGCACAGTGCTACACATTCCTCTTTCAGAAAGTCTACAATCCTTTTTTGAAGCAAAACACAATTAAAACCCCAGTGAAACAATGAAAAAATATTAACAATAATTCAAAACATCTATTAATTTTTTTTGACATGTCACTGCTTAGCTTCACTCGACCACCCCTGACCGTTAAAACAAAGACTGAGGTTATAATTCAGTAGATAGAGCACCACTCCACACAGCAGTCCCACCAATAAGGCAGGCCAGTCATACACCAGAACGTCATATTTCTAAAGTGCCATTGTGAAGAAGAGTGTAAATGGTGAAGCTTTCTGGGGTTTCTGAAGTTTCCTGCAGCAGACAGAAATGCAACCTAACTTAACGTGACCGACCCACCCCACCAAAAACAAAGCAAAACCTCCCCAGCACCAACCCAACCTCTTCCATGAGATGCCTTCAGGGGCACCACGCCCTACTTGGTGCACACAAGTGCATCAACTCAGCCAATACGATTCAGCACCACAAGACAAAATACCAGCAAACTGAAAGAACATTCTAAAACCAAAGGGGAAAGAAACACTGCAGAATCAATTCAGCATAGGAAAAGTCAAACCAGAAATAAACACAAGTCCAATGACTAACATATGATACTATGCACACACACAAAAACAGACGAGCCTTTTTCCATTTAAGAGCCAAGAAAAAAAAAAAAAACTGTTCAGAAGGCTTTTTGGAAAGGATAGGAATGACAGCATCATATTACATAGCAACTTCCCCTGCCATCAAACAAGAAACAGTGGTAAAATAAGTTCAAGAGAAAATGTGAAGACTCACTATGAACCCTGACTGTGGACAGACATCTAACACAACAGATATACCTAAGACAGAAAGATGCCTCCTACTTTTACAAGTGTACACCAATTCCACACTGCAAAACAGAATGACTGGTTTACAAGAAGTTTTTATTTCACACACTATCTTTTTAACTGCACAAAATGAACAAATGCTGAAGTTTTAACTACATCTATGCACTATCCTGCAGAAGAGGCAGTCACTAAAATTAAGCAATTAAGAGCACATCTATGACTTAATGAAATATTTAAATGTCATGGATTAATAAGCGTTATAAAAGAAGAACGCTTATTATTGCTGTACAGTCACCATTCCTGTAGGCATATGGGGAGATGGTTTGCACAGCTACACCCACAGAGAGACACACAGAGGTCAGACACACTTGCAAGCCAAGAAAGCTTATTTTCTCCTTACTTATTCTTAACTTTTCACTTAACTTCGTCTCACAAACTTAGGACTCCACTGAGCAAGTTTCTCTGACGTGTAACAGTGAAGACAAAGCTGCTATGGAGTCGTGATGATTTCAAATAAAATCACACTGCATTCAGCATTTATCACATTCACCACGTCCAACAATTTCTGAAATGTTTCTGTACTGAAACAATGCTAAACTAACTTAGATCCCGTTCAGCTGCACTTTGTGTCAAGAAAAAAATTGTCAAGTAAGTTCAAAAACATCACATACTTCTCATTTTCTTTAGCTTCTTTTCACAGTTTCAGCATCCACCCCTTAGTATTTTAGTTTGAAAGAACAGAAATCAGAACTTATTTCTACACAGAATAAAAGCAAACTGAGAAATGCAGTAGGAATCTGCTACCTGTTAGGCACAAGTGTAGTACACTCATATTTTGTTACAACAAGCTGAAACAGTTGAGTTGAAGCACCAATCTTTTGTTACTATGCAAGATAGCCATCTTAAGAGCCCTGCCGAAACCTTACCACGTGAACCGAAGGCCCCAGTAAGTTTATAGAATTTTCAGTTTCACTTGAGGCGTTCTAAAGTTTAAAGAAAAAAGGAAATCAAAACCACCGTAACTGAAGCATGAAGCTTCCTATGCCATTAATTCAGTTTACGTGATAGCAAAGACTCCTCGCCCTCCGAACCGAACGCTGAACACCCCCAGCATTCAGCCGGTACTTCTGCAAGTGGGGAAGGAACACGGAGGGCGAAGCGGCTCACAGCACAATGGGAAGCCAACGTCCCGGCCGCAGCGCCCCGCATAGAGGCTCCGGTGTGTGTGCAACATGCTGGGATGGGGGATGGGGGGAGGGGGGACAGGGAAAGGCAAAAAAAAGAAAATGTTCTGTGCCGTTAAAATTAGCTAAGCCGCTGAAGGGCTGGAAGCGCCGCGTCCCAGCGCGTAACCCTCGATCTCCTGCTGTACGTGACGACAAACGCCGCTTAACGTGAGGGAGAAATATTAAAGCAATCATCGGTTACCTTAAAAACTCTTTGCTTCCTCCTCTGAGGTCTTTTGTTTTCAGTTAGAACCTAAAAAAACATCAAATTGCAGAATAAGCGGTGGTCACAAAAGCAGACGCCTCCAGTTTTATTATCGAACTGAAATATTTCTCAAATACCCGAGTGCTTCACATGCGGCACCTCGGCGGGCCGGCGGCGGCTCTACGCGGCCCCTCCGCCGCCACCCCGACACGCGGCGACGCCGGAGACGGCAGAGGGGAGAGGCCCCGCCGCCCCCCCGGAGCCGACCTCGCTGGTGCCCCGCATTCCTCACGGCGGCGCCCACCAGGCGGCCATCTTGCTTCCTGCCGCAGCGGAGCTCTCCCCTCCCCTCGCGGCGGCGCGGGCACGAGCCGCGGGATCGGCGGCGCTCGCCCCCCCCCGCCCCCTCACGAGGCCACGCGCCGCGCGCGCCCGAAGCCTATGTCCGGCCCAGCCAATGGGACGCCGCGGCACCGCAGCGCCCCCCCGCGGCCTCCCTCGCCGTCACGCCGGCCCCGTCCGGACAAAGGGGCTGCTGTACGGGCGGCCGCCGGCAAGACGCGGCGCGGACACGGAGCCGGCGCCGCCCCCGCGCGCCCCCGCCTCGGCGCGCGCACGGCGGGTCGCGAGGGCTCAGGCGCGGCCCCCGCGAGGGCTGCGGCACGCAGGGTCAGGCGAGGACACGGCCCCCGCGCGGCGCGTGCACGCGGCCGACCGTGAGGGAGGGGCGGGGAGGGGGAGCCCATGCCGCGCCGCTGAGGGGCTTTAACTGCATCTACGCAGAAGGGGAGCGCCCGGTCCTGCAGCCCAGGTGCACCGCGCCCCGGCCAGCACGGCCCTCTGCCCTCGGTGAGGTTCAAGCGGAATCTCACGTCGGCCCCGAGAAGCTTTCCCCAAACGGCTCAGCCCAGACAGAGAGCAGCTGCGGGGCTCTCCATTAAATCAGCATTTCCCATTCAAAACAGAAGAGCGGCTGCTGGAAAGCTCCCAGCCTCCCCTAATTGCAGCATGCTCCTTAAATACGCCTGGGCTTTGGGCGGCACGTTAAAACCCAGAAGGAAACAGGCCGTATCGTTGTTCCGTATTTCCCCATTTCTCAGATTATTGCCGCTGTATGAGATGTCTCAGGGCACCGGGGTGAGGCCAGGTCCCACGGAGCCTCCCGGGGCCATCGCTGTCACCCACGTGCAGGCAAACTCTCCCCAGGAGAGGCTGGCAGCGGGACAGGGCTCCTGCCCGGGTGCAGCCCCAAAATGCAGGCACCTCAGCAACGCCGGCCCCTGCTAATGCTTCTTCCCCAGGAGAAAGCAATACAAATTCTGCACCACCCTCCTATGCTGCTTTTGCAACCTACCGAGCCCTGACCTGCAACCTATCCACACTGCCAAGGTGTGCACGATGGTGCAATAGCAGCAAACCAGACCACCTCTTGAGATAAAATGCGCTTTTTGGTAGAAAATAGCTGCAAAACAGCCTCCAGCAAGTACCATGTTATTGCAGAACACGGCAGTCTTGGAGACAAGAGAAAATGTAAAATTTCCACACTCCTGTGTAGGTGGAACTTGTCAAAATGCTCTTTTCACTGCGGAGTGTTCCTGCATTATTCACCCAGAGTGGGACGATAATGCAGCATAAAACCTTTCTCCTCTCCTTTTCAATGCCTACTGTCACCTCTCACTTACCTGGCTGCTCCCCCAGAAAGCAGTGACGCCCAACCATTTTACCTATATACTGCAGGTCATTTTCTCCACCCATGCCTAAGCAAGGCTCCCTGCAGTAGTGCTGCTGGAGAAGCAGCACTGCCATTCTGGACCTTCCCCACATTGAATCCCGGAAAAATCCATTCCATTCAACAAGGTAGCACGGTAACGTATCACTTCAGGTTTATGTGGCTGTTATTCTTTAAAAAGCTTTTTTTTCTTTTTAAAGCGGCACGCAGGGACTTTTGAACCCCTGCACCAGCTGTCCTAGAGCCATTCAACACACAGCTCTCATCCACTTTGCCGACTTCTGCATTGTTTAGTTAAAGTCAAAAGAAATAATTCCCTTTAAGGCAAAACATCAATGTTTAAACTATGCTCACGCAGAGAACGTCTATCCCCTTACACCCTCCTCCCAGTGAATCACCTCTAAAAAATGCTTACATTCCACCAACACGAGACAGAGACGCACAGCTCCTCCAAACGAGGAATGCACTGAAGCCAACCTATTTTCTCTTTAATTGCTTTGTTCCCTTTCTATACCATGGACAGAGACCTACAGACTTTTTCCCCAGCTGCCCTCTATTTGTGACACATCGCTGGCATGGAAATCTCAACTGCTGTAGTCCCAACCTCATCTCGGTCTGGGAAAACACAACGGGATTCCCTTTCAGAGTGCTAAAGTCTTATCTGAAGGATAGCTGCCTGCACAGTGCTTCCCATCCCCCCACATCACCCCCTATATCTCAACATTTTCAAAGCACTCTCGCAACACACACGCTGCAGAAACAGTTTCCTCTTTCATTTTCCTCTGAGCGGTGCTTCTATAGAATATGAGAGACCAGACTTGCTCCTAGGAACATCTGAACAGGCACCAGGTTTCATTCAAATACAGTTTTATGAGAAAATACCTGACATGTTGTTAAATGTCAGGAATACTTCATTTCCTCTATGCAGTATTCAAAGTTCATACAAAATTTAACAAGTAATGAAAGAGGCCTCTGGTGCAGCTCTAAATGCATTGAACAAAATGTGACCAATTTAATAATACAAAAGCACACAAGAAATAAACTCCCAAAGGAATATAAACAAGAAATTCCTCGTAAAGAAAGAAAAAGGAGTGTCTGAAGAGGAAAGAGGTGAAGGGGCAAAGCATATCTGCAAGGAGAAGGTCAGACTGAGCAACAATAAAAGAAGAACATTTAGCCTGGAAAACAAAGGTTGACAGAAAAGCTGGAGTGCTTCTTTCATTGACCCTGCCAAAACCTTTTCTAAATCATGGCTTTTCAATCACTTCCTATATCAGTTCCATCAATTCTCTTCCACAAGCTTCTTTAGCTCCATTGGCTAAATCTCGTTTAGCCAGTGTTTAGCCAACAAGGTTTTAATGTTGCTACTCTCTTTCTGCAAGAAGTCAGCATCAGTCTCTATCACCTTTATTGCTCAATTACATCTTCAAGTCACCTGTTAGTTGTCCCTTCACTCACTTCACTTCACTCTCTATGAGCAGTCGAGACGTAAAGGATTTTTAATGAACTGTAAGCCCACCTGCTTAAACCTTCTTGTCTAAGCATTTTAATTTAAAATACACTTCCTGCCCAAAGCCTGTACACATATCATAACCCTTCACTGCTATGGGACTCTTCTCTTTGCCTGCCTACTGTGAAAACAGAACAGGCACATCTGCAAACCTTAGCAAGTACCGGACAGAGGGCTGGAAACAGGAGGTCTCCTGAGAGCTCCGCAGCAAACTGGGATTTCTATCTGTTGTAAGAACACACTGTTTTAATGAAGCTGCTGTTCAGAAATATTTTGCAGGTGCATTCCCTGCAGTGTGAACTGCTCAGAGAGCACAGAGCACATGCTGGTGCAGAGACTTGAACCCGAGTTTCCCACATCCCAAGGCAAATGTCCCAGCAACTTAACAACTGCGACAGCATCTCCCTCTCCACGGCTCAGTCTCTGTTCAACCATATGAACTTCCAGGAGCAGGCAGAGGCTAACACTGCAGCTCAGAGGTCAGGGAATTCAGCTGGGATATGGGAAATCTGTGTTCAATTCCCTACTTACCTGATTTAAAGCCTGATCTTGAACTGAAATCTCTCAGAAGGCCAGGGCTGTTATCACAAAGGCATACAGAATGTCTTTTCCCCTCATCTTTGGTCCAAAAGTAATGACCTGGGTTATAAAACACTTATGGATCAGAAAAATGAGTAAGGAACAGAAAGAGAATACATGGGGAATATGTGGTAAGATATACAAAGTAAGAGAGGCGGGAAAAATGAAATGAAAGAAACAGAAGAACAGACAGTTAGAAAGGCAGAGGGATGTGAAAGGGGAAAAAGGCAGCTCTAATCCTGTCCTGAAGTTTATTGATTTGTTTCTACCAAATGCATAATCACAAGCAAATCACTTTAAAGAGCACACAGCCTTCCTTCTTCTACCTTTTACCTTCTTTTTCTTAGTTATTTTGAAACACAAGCCCTTTCCCTAAGAACTTAGGGTATCCTAAGACTATCCCCTCATTTCCCCACTCCTCACATTCTGTACTTAAATCCTTCTCACCTTTTCATGCCCTCAATTGCTGTAGCCAGTACACCGGTATTTGGAACACAGAGTTAAAGCCAATCTTGCCTCTCTTTTTTTTTTTTTTTCCTCTAGTAACTAGTAACTCCAGTTCACTTCTACGCATCTCTGGATAGCAAGTCAATGTAACTTGCTAGCTCCAAAAGAAACCCTAAGTTCTCTAAATCTGTACAACAACCCCCCTCTGCAGTGTTTTCAGATACACCTCAATCCTCCAAATCGTGACTTAATTTGAGACTTTTCTGGCTTACCTCAAGAGGTAGTGTGATTGGTGGCGGTGGCTTTTTCAGTTCTTCACATTTTCTCTTTTTACATATCCGGTGACTGGTTTTGCGCTTCCTGCAACAGCTGCATTCTTCACAATTTGTTTTCCGCAGACAGGGCTCACAGACTCCACAACGCCTTCGTTTCTTTTTCTCTAACATAGGGAGCAGAGATGAATATGCAAGAGGGTGACTGCCAGCCGGATTTGTAAGAGAGGATGGCCCTGAGGCCTCAACTGTTTGAGTGCTGTTGCTCACGTTGTCCTGAACCAAATTCAAGCTTATTCCAACGCTTTCCAGCTGTGATGAATAATCATTCTGCTGCAGTCTCAAATCAACTGGCAAATCTGCATTTATGGCTTTTTCTAAGGCAAGAACAGAGATTTCTGTGCTTGAAGGCAACTCTGAAACAAAACCTTCAGAGAATTTTCTGGAACTCTCACTGGAGAGTTCATCGACTGCTCTTTTTTCTATATCTGATGATAAAGCGGGGACATAACCTGAATTCAAAATTAACGTCTCTGCATCAATACATGTAACAAATTGTTCAATATCCTCCACTTCAATATTGGTTAAAGAGGTATCGGAAACTGGTTCGCTTACTGTAAGTATGTTTTTTGAGTCTGATTCTGTATTCCCTACTGTACAGCTCAGATCTGAACATGAGTCAATCTCTTTGTGAATGGGCACAAAATCCACGAGTTTCATGTCAGATTCCACAAGTGAACTTACACTTTCAAAATGTAAAAGTGAATTTGATCCAGTGGCAGCTTCATGTGAACCAAGATCTTCATTCTCAGACTTCAAATTCCCATCTGCTTTTATGCAGGACTCTGAAAATGAGCTCAAATCTTCTAAACATTCTTGTGAATTTAACTCAGAGGTAACTGTGGGTGCAGAATTCGAGTAGCGTTCTTCACTGGCTAGCACCAGGTCTGACTCTGCTTCAGTGTGGGATTCAGCAAGTGGGACCAACTCTTCTAACAGCACAGCTGAACTGGGGTCTGAGGTATCAATAGAATCAGAGTCAGGTTCTTTACTGTTAGGCACCAGGTCGAAGGGAGTCTCTATACACACCTTCGAGTTTGGTTCAGAGGTGGTTATGGAATCAGAAGACGGAAGCACCAATGCAGCATCTTCAGCAGATGCTTCAGCTGCACTACTTGCATTGAGATCAATGAGCGTCTGCTCACAGGGCAGGTCTTCGTGCTCATACTCCACCTCTGACTCTGCTGTATTATCATCAGTCACTTGGGTGCTTGGAACAGAGTTCTTCATTTCAGGTATTTCTCCCTCCTCTTCTTGACCAGCACACATGGCAGCAGGCTCTTCATCTACACTGCACGGAATATCCTCTACAGGCAGAGAAGCTAATTCATCTTGTGCTAAATTCTGTTCCAACACATTTTCGGATGCTTCAACATTTTTGTCTTCTACTACTGCCAGAGCTTGTTCATGTTTTTCCTTTGTTTCTAGCTTTTTTTGTGCTGCAGCTTTTCTGGGTTTTGCAATTGTTGGAGCTTGAGAAAATCTACGGGAGAATGATCGGTTACGAAGAGACATTGTAAAACCATTGATGTTGAAAGCTTCCTGGCTATGAAAGAGGATATTGTCAGCTTTCTCCAAACTCACCCAAGGTGTTCCAGACAAGGTTCTGGTGACACTGCTCCTGAGAAATCTACCTGAAGAGCTCATGATTGGTTTCTTTTCTTGCTGCTTTTTCTTCACATCTTTTTCTTGTGCCGGCTTTTTGCCTTTTCCAGAACTAACAGCTTTTGTGGAAGTCTTTGTGGTTTTCTTTCTCACTTGGCTAGATTTCTTTTTACCCTGGTTAGTTTTCTTTTTGCCTATCTCTTCCTTTTTGGCTAATCTGGAAGGCCTTGCGTGGTGAGCCATGTCTGCGGAGTAGTCGAAATGTTAAGAGGAGAGATGGAAAAAAATCATGAGCTCTTGAGAGAATTTTTCAACAGAAAACTGCACACTCCCATTGCGGGTCTCTGTAGCAATACAGAGTCAACTCTGAAACAGAAAAAGATAAAATAACATTAATGTAAATCTAATTAATGGAGAAAGCATGTATATTAAGCTGACTGATCAAAAATACATAGCTAGAACTTGAAATACCAGCATCAGACATCAAGCAAAATCAGCACGAAAGCTCTGAAAGTATTAGTGGACTGCAAAATGGAAAGCTTGCCTAAATGCCTAGAAAACTAATAAAGAAGTGAACAAAGTTCAGCTGATCATGCAGCGATTCCTATTTACCATTTTACATCAATTTTAAGATGTTTGAACATTCTCAGTCTTATTGGTGGTTTGTTAACCACCGCTCTCCTTGGGTAAGGACAGCTAAAATTTACATCTTCAGATATGCTGTGGAGCATAAAGCTATTACTGTATGGTCATTTGGGAAACAAAAAACAACAAAGCTGAGTTCAGCTGGTGCTACAGGCACCCATACACCAGCACAAGGACATCTCATCCACTGGCTGCCCATCATAGTACATGCCCAGGTTAAAATTGGAGAAATAACTACACCTCTCTAAAGACTTTTAATTTGTATTCACAGGGGTAACTGGATCATGGAAGAATTGCCTTTCCAAATGTTATTTCCTGGGATCATGTACAAGCACGCTGTACTAGATTGCAAGCCATGGTCCTTTCCAGCAATGTCAAATGTATTATGCAAGAAATCACCTCTGCTTCATGATCATGACCACTACCATATTTGCCATCAACAAAACACCATAATGTTTATCCTAAGCTTTTGTCTTCAAATATGACTGTGATGAAAAAGCATCCAAACTCCCAAGCACAACCCATGCATCTCAGAGGAGACAACAGACTCTTCTGGCTCCAGAGCAATTTTCCGAAAGACGGGTTGCTTTTCCTTCTTTGTTTGTTTAAATATAAATAAATTCTGTTAAATACATAGTTTATCTCTAAAGGAAGTAAAAAAGAGCTCCTAAAGGAAGAAAAAGGAAGAAGAGTGCTGCCAGGCCCAAACCCCACCACTTCAAAAGGCAAGAGAAACTGAGCACTGTCTTCCACATGACCTCCATCCCGTGCTGAAGCCAGCAGAGAGATGTTACCATGGCTGGGCTTACCCACAGCCCAGTCTGAGCTCCACTGAAGGAAGGCAGAGCCCTGCTGATGCAACCCAGCCTACCTAGCACCTCAGAAACTCATAACACTACCATGGTGCCCAAGGTTCAGCTTGCGTTGGGCAAACAACGGCATGGGGCTTGCAAAGGGCAGGCTCTGCAAGAACACATCCCCAGACTACAAGAACCCATCTAAGCACAAAGGGTGTAGTAGATCCACCGTACACAGCTGCTGCACAGGACTACCAGCTCCCACTGCTCCTAGCCAGCATGCTGGCAGCAAACTCGTCTCTAATTCTGTCACAGCCATCAACAGGCTGCACAGTCACAATACTTGAAAAACCTAACAGTAACTCCCCACTCTCTTCTGAGCTTATTTAAAGCTCTTAGAAGCCCAGCTCATCTGTTCTGCAGTAAGCTGAAAGATCTTCTGTGCTACAAAAGATAAATCCCGTATGTCACGTGTCTATGTAAACATGCTGTGATCATTCTGTATCTCATCTGCATCTTACAGGAGCACACCAAACTAACATTAATGAGGCAGCACTTTTTCCATGCGCTCAAACATCATTTTGGAGTCAACATTGCAGTACAGCAAAAGGCTCAAGGCACTTCTAAGGTCACGTCAGAAAACAAAGCTAACCACTCACATCAAACAAGCTAATGGCATTGCAGGAGGAGACGTGACCCAGAGTGACTAAATACACACGTACAGCCATCCGTAGTTGCAGGTAATGCTTCAAAAGCCATTCCTAAAAGACCCAAACAGTCCTCACAGAAGTGCTCCACAAAAGTTGGCTTGGACACTGAAATACACCAAATACAAACCTGAAGTTAGAGTAATTTGAGTGCTTTCCTTCCCTTACCCTTTTCTGGAGCAGCATGGAGGAAGAGGGAATGGCCATTACCAGTCACTCCACAAACTGAGCATCAAAGAGGCATCAGCAGCATGTTAACAGGTCCATGAAACAGCTGCTGGCAGTCTGCAAAGGGCTGCCCACTTTCTTGTGGTTTTGATGAAAACAGGCTCCAAAGAACAGTCTGGAGGGCTGCAAAGCCAGCTGCAAACAAGCAGCAGATAGCCCATTGGTAGCCATTAGTGTACAGTGCTACATAACAGTGGAAGGAGAGGAAATGTGAGCCACTTTCAGACACCACAACCAGGAGAGCAAGGAAGAGCGCAAGCAAATAAGGGCCAGGTAGCATGGAAATGTGTGAATCATGAGGGGAGCAGAAGAAAGGAAATAAAGCCTTTTCTCTTTATCAGCTCTGAAACAGAAGTAGAAGGGGGAGAGAAAACAGGAGATCAAGAATGGAAACTGCAACTGGATTTTTGAAGATACTGAATGTGTTTAAAGCTTTGTTCATGCTACTTTTCTACATGAACATTTGCCACTGCTGTTGTAGAAGTTTGGGAAGCATATTTGCAATATTACCAATCAGAAGCTTCATTTATAACAATCTTACAAAACTTAATTTTTCTTTAAAATCATGATTATGTGATATGTCTTTACCTGCATTTAGAGATTTCAACACAGGTGCTTCAAGACTGAAGAAGCAAGATCATCCTGCTTTGTTTGTAACAAAAACAAAACAGCAACAAAACAAAGAAACAAACAAACAAACAAAAACTCCACACCTGTCTGGAAGGAATACATAATACTGAGGTAGTACTGTGATGGAAAAGGCTGGTGGCATTTGTCAGAGACAATACATGGGCATATGGAAAACAGTAGCAACTTTATGCATTTTGTTTCAATTTTGTCACTGGAAAGAATTTTTCTTTAGAAGAGATCTGGGCAGTAGCTCTCTAAAGGATGCATATCTTTTTTTCTTTTCTTTTAATACTGGACTCCAGTTTTACCCATCTGGAACAGAGCACCTGACCTCCATGGTGACAGTAGCCTCTTGGGAGAAATGCCTGTCAGCATCAGGGCTTTGCTTCCCCTTGAAGAAACCCCCATACTCCTGATGAGTTCTGCTCTGCCACAATAACCACAATTGCTAGATTAAAAAAAAAAAAAGAAGAAAAGAAAAGAAAGAAAAAACAAAGTTTCTAGTAAAACTACTTTTATGTTGTTGCTGTTATGTTTACTTTGCCACATCCAGCATCCCAGAATTAGGTAGCTACAAGCTCAGTATCCAAGATTTGTTTTCTGTAGCACTACAGAATGTTTTACCCTCCCTTTTCCATGTAAATGGCAGGCAGTGCTGTCGTGTTGATGCCTGCAGGAGTTGCAAATTGCCTCATGTAACTTCTTCGGGACAGTCACATTTCAAACCAAGAAATCCTATTACCAAAACACCCATGTCAATTGCAGGATTATCAAATACAAATCTAATGGCTTAACGCAATAACTTGTAAGTTCTCATCATCCTGGAGAGGAAAACTGACTTCAGTGGTCTCTTCTGAATTCCAAGTCAGATGGGACCCCTCCCCCCCCACTCCCTTCCTGAGAGCAGAGTCAGTCAGGACAGTCCCTATAAAGTAATGTGGGTAATAAGTACAGGAGGGTTAGCAGGGAACTGCCCCAGACAGTAATAGTGCATCCTGAAGCTGATTGTGACTTGAGTTGATTCCTCTTTTAACTCATGTGCAAAACCAAAAGCTGGCTGTAAGGCCAGTATCTTAAGTTCTGCTTTCAGTAATAAAGCTGGAGCAATCCCACTGACTGCTATAATCCTCAGCAAATACTGCTAAAAAGCTAATCAAGAGCTAAATCTTTCAGTCCCAACTAGGTCAAAATTATAGACAGTTATAATGAGAATATTGCCTGCAAGGCAGTGGGGGGGATTTAACCCTATGGAATGCCTCCAGGAAAAACAATAAAAATATATTTTTTAAAATGCTTCTCTTACTTCCATTTTCTTTGCACAGAATAATAAAAAGAAAGGAATTTTCCTTTTCATTCATTAAGATCCTGTTTCATAACTAGGTGCAAAACTTAAAAATGAGTTTTCATAAAATGGTGGCGGGCTTTATCTGACATCAGAAAAGAAAGTAAGTGACCCTTGAAAAAAACACAACTGTATGGGAAAAATCACACAGCTTGGACTAGCTGAGCCCGGTTTCACTACAGCCAGAATGAACCAATTTAAAGCACTTTGTTTCAGTGTTTAAATGCCTTTTTAAAAATCACTTGAGATTAGCCTGGTGGGGGAACAAGACCTAGGAACTTTCATGAAAGCCTTTTTAAATAACAATACACAGGTCCCAAGCAATAGGGGTCACCATTTCACTTAGAAGTTGTCATACAACCTCTTATCTACATTTTTGAATGGAGAAGCATCTCATTACCAGCAGCAAGTGTTCTAAAAGGAAGACACAACAGACACTGGAAGACAGAAACTAGAAAAGCTGACCCTATGCAATGCACGAAATCTTTTTTCAGCCCTCTTGGAGCTGTATCCTATCATCTAGATGTTCTTCCCAGCTGTACTAAAGTCAGCCCACTTTTCAATCTTGCTCCATTCTCTGTATCTACTGTTTTGTACAACACTTTGTATATGAAAAGAAGGGAAATGGGTTAAGAGGAGGGAATTAGCTTTAATTTACCCTCCCCCTTCTTTAATCCTTGAGTATCCATTTGGTTTTGGTTAAGAAATAAAAACGAAACTCAGGACCAGGAACTGTTTCATGCACGCTCTCACAGAGGCTCTCCCTTGGCAGCACAGCCCACTGCCTGCTGCTCACCGCCACGCAGCCTCTCGGAGCTCTCCTTCTGCAGAAACACTGCTTCAAACAGAGCTGCAGCCTCATACACCCTTCAGGAGCTGCTTTCTGTTTTACTGTGCATACACCTGCCACCTGGCTTTCCAGGATCGTTACCACTCTTGAGCAAAATGGGCATATTTTATCCACATAACGTAAAACTTCGACTTAAAACAACACTTTCCAGCAGTTTAACAGCAAACCTGGGGCAGGCACTGCAGGACGCATCTTGAAAGCAAAACCCTTTTCCTGCACATGTTCAGTAGGTTGTGCACCAAGACCTTTGCTTCATTCTACTTTTTGTCTCTCCTGGCTTCAGAATCCCACCTCTGCTCTAGGGGCAGTAGGTGCCACATGACTTAAGCAGGACTGCCCCCAAGTCCTACTTCCCCCACTGCAGGGGGAGCAGAGGGCTGCAGTGAAGCATGCACTCTGGCTCACTGAATTCAGCAGGAAGTGAGGGTATCTAGAATACTGCAGCATAATGACTTCAGTATAAACTTTTGAAACCTGCTCAGTGAGTGAATCAGGGGGAAAACACCACCAAAAAAAAAGAAAACCAGTTGCAAGGAACCATGCATGCTGAAACCACAAAACCAGATTAAACCTCAAGCAAACTACTGGCAGCAGAAATCTATTGTGAAGGCTCGCGCCACATGTGTGAGCATCACTCCTTGGAGCCAGGCAGAAGCGTGCCTCCACTTTAACCTGTTCTGCACAGCCCAACACTGACCTTAATGGGGAGAAATGCAAATAAGTAAAAAGATTTAATTAAGTTTTTGAGACTCATCAAATCAAACCCCTTCCACCATACAGCTCCAGGTACTTACTAAATAAAAATAGCAAGCAAAAACCCCTAAGCTAATCATATTCCCCCCTTAAATATACTTTTCTGGTGCTTTAAACAGTGCCTTTCTTTCTGACAATGTTTGACTCCCTTCCTTGAAGACTTTACCTTTAAAAACAACCCTAACTGGATCACCTTATCTCAAACTCAATTAAAAGAAGGGGGAGGTGGAGGAGAGAACCTTCAGGCAAAGATTAAGCTTGGAAATTTTCAGCCTGAAAGGTGTTCTGAAATGTAAGTAATTGAAAGCAGGAGGGAGATGCTTAGACCAGCTTCGGCAACCACGGGTTGCACGACAGCCACGACAAAATACCACCAGTGGCGATTGGGAATTACTACCCAGAGAAGTTTCTACAGAAGTCCCTGATATCAGCGAGCTCCTCGGTGCTCGCCACGAATTCCTCCCCGATTACCTGCTGAGTGCAGCCCGGCCCTGCCCGCTGTCCCCGGGCCCCTCCAGCCGGCAGCCGCCTGGCTCCCACCCCTGCACTGCCGGAGGGAGCACCGCTCGGGGGCAGAGCCTCGCTTTCTCCCAGCCGGGCACCGGGCTGCTGCCCAGCCCCATGGCCAACGCCACGCTTTCTGGGTTCCATCTCCACGCTTAATTTGCGTTGACTGACATTAATGAAAACAAGGTGATTACTGCGTGGAATAGCCCTCTGCCTCTCCACGAAAGTGCCTTAAAAAGAGCACGGAGCACTGCAAGGAAGAGCCATTACTCGGATGATTTTTCAAAATTATTTTTAAAGGTTCCCCCTCTAAAATTTAAAGAGACACCTCTGCCCCGTAAGCCTTCTCGGTCACTGGGAGCTCTAGCTACCCAGTTCTGCGAGTGCACGTTTCCTCGCTGCTGCAAGAAGGGCTCCGGCCGGACCCTGAGGCTGCACCGCCCTGGCCACGCGTGGCTGTGCGCGGCACCGCCGCCCGCTGCGGGAGCGGGCAGAGGCCGGGCAGGGCAGGGGCAGGCCCGCCGAGGCTCCTCGTGGCCCCACGGCCCGCAGCGGGGCTGCAGGGGGCAGACAAAGGGGCCGAAGCTGGGGCCGCTCCCGCCGCAGCCCGGGGCTCGCCGAGGGGATGCGGCACCCTCGGAGGAGGAGAACGCAGCGCGTCCCCTCTCCCCTGCCGTTTTGCGGGAGTGGCTGAGGGTCCCGGCTCTCCGGGCTAGGTGCCCCGCTCGCCCCTCCATCTCTCCATTTCCAGGAAGGCTCCGGCGCAGACCGGACTCGTCCTCCCCCCAGGCCGGCAGCGGCCTCCCCTCCCCGCCTCGGTTCCACACCGGGCCGGGAGAGAAGGGAGTATTGCAAAGAATAAAAAGTGTGTGGGCGGGGGGGGGAGGGGGGGGAAAGGGAGAAGGAGAAAGCAACGCGTCGTCCCACGTACGTACCACGGCTAACAGGAAGGGGCGACGCGGGCATGGCTGGGCTGGGCTCGGAGCGGGTCATGCTCACGCCTCGCTGCCTGTCCCCATGGCGCGGTGAGCCCAGCGCGGCAGACGGAGCCTCGGTGGCGCCGGGCCGCGAAACGTGCTCTCGGCGTCGCCCCTGGCCGGACCCTCCGGGAGGGAGCGGGGAGGGGGCGGCTCGGCGGGGCGCTCGCCGCACCGAGCCCTCTCGGCAGGCGGCAAAACGCGCCCTGGATCCCCGCGGCAGGAGCGGGATTCCCCACCCGCCCCCGGGCAGCGGGCGGCAAGGCGGCAGCGCCGCGCACCCCGGGGCGGGCTGGGGGCCGGTGGAGCGGCTCCTGAGCTCCCGCCGCCCCAGGAGTGCTTGAGAGGGAGCGGGCCCGAGGCAGTGGAAGGGAGGCGGGTGGTCCGTTCCGCCTGGAGCTCTCCAGCTGAGGAGGTGACGCAGAAATCACCTTTTTGCTCTTGTTTCGGCTGGAAGAGGGAGCTTCTCTCCGTCCTCCTCTCGTGGCCGAAGGGCCGTGAGGCAGCGCACCGAAGAGCGAGAAAAAGGCCTTCTGCGAGGGGAAACCGTGCCCTGCTCTCCCCACCTCCACCCCTTCCATTAAAAGCCATCCATGATTTTCGGTGCTCCTTTCCCGAAGGAAGGGGCGAGCAGTATGCTTTAATATCAAGGCTGGACCACTCGTCCTTCTCCCGGGTCGTTATCACGGCAGCCTTTTGTCAGGGCGCAAAGCGGCCGCCGATCCGCTGTCCCCTCAGATGTCCCTTCAGAGAACAGATGTTGGAAATGGATCTATGAAACAATACACCCTAGCAGCACGGGTTTTTTAAAGCGTCATTATTAAATCCCTTGCTGCTTGCTATAAAGCACTTAAAATGCGAAGCAAGCCATTCAGATGTAAGTCTGCAGGGAGGCTTTTCGGCTATGTATGAGAGCAGCAGCACTGCCCATCTCCGTTCCCACAAGGATGTTCTAAACGCTCGCATTTCGTTAGCTATTTTCATTTGCACACAAGAAAGGAGGCAGCAGCACAGACAGCAGCTTATTGTCACTGCCGGCTCCTGTGGGCAGTCGCTCAGTGATGGGTAACCCATCACTGGTCTGTCACCTCATCCTCTGCTCTCCTCCCCTTCCTTTCCTTGCAGTCAAAAAGGAACACTTGGGAATCATATCCAAGCTCGCAGATACTTCAGATATAATAAAGCAAACTCATATATGCCTGAATTTCGTATTTGCCCGGTCAGCCTCCTCTGGCTGCTAACTTAAACTGAGTGCAGGGGTTCTCTGCTCTGGCTGTAACCAGAGATTGCTTGAGTGCAGTGCTGGATATGGAGGACTCTGTCGCGCTGAAGGCCTGCCCTGCTAAAAAGAACAAGAACCACAAATACATGATTTGAGAAGTAAAAACTATTGCTGTCCAAGTGCTGCACATGGCATAAGTGGAAGAGAACTGGATCTTGATGGTAAAACCACACATAAGCACAGAGCATGGTTCTTGGGAAGGTGGGAATACACTGCAAGTTGTGGGCTTGAACATAAAGGTGAGAAATGAGTAACTCAGAAAAAAAGCAGCAAGATGGCAAAGGCTTGACTAGAACATAAAATATAACAGGAGCAAACAAACCACTGCACACTGCCACTGCTCTATTCAAAACTGCTAAAATCAAGGAAACAAATCAGAACTATCAGTTGTTCACTTTCACCAATACAAACATAAATGCTTGTGGTCTTCAATGCCAACAAGCTGGAAGGTGAGCAGCAGAAAGGAATGATCCTATCCGGCAGTGCTAAGCCTACTACAGTAAAAGCTGAATGTAAAGGTCTGTAGAAAGATTTCACAGTAATCACTGGCTGAGCAACATGAATGGTGGATGAAATTCTTTTGCTCAAATGCAAAGTGAAGCACATGGGGGAAAGATGGAAACTCTGAATTAGCCACTTCAACTCAAAATAGAGATCCTGGTTCCATTACAGATAGCTCTGTAATACTCACTGCTACACAACATTACAGACACTAAAAAGTTTTTTCAAGACAACAGTAATGGGAAAGTGTTGAATCAAAATCTACTTAATGGAAGAGGGCCATTTTAGCTATGTACTACTGGAAGGTAGAAGAGTCTCTTTAAATAATAGCTCTGTATCTACTACAGCTTTCTTCCAGAGATATGCTGCTGACTGTCACAAGCAGATTCTCAGCCTAATACAGGACTACCATATCTGTGCTTTTATCCAAAGGAATATCAGAATGATACCTGCAGAACAGATACAACTGGACATTGAAGTATTGAAGAATAAAATGCATAAGCCTTTAGTAGCTACACATTGCTGCCATCTTTAGCACAAGAAGTCTGCACTGAGCATCAGGGAGCCACATAAGGCAGCTGCTCCCTGAGGAGCAGGGAGACAAGCACAGTCACACAACCAGCAGGGCAAGGACCACGCTGGCCAGCACCTGGTCCTGCTGTGCCCACACAAGGGAAACAGGGTAGGTCTGAGGATAGCAGGTAAATCCAGGGGTCCTGCTGGATGCTGAAATTGCAGGTGATGGGACAGACCTGAGGCCAAACCAAGAAGTCAGCCTACGGGTTGTAATCAGATCTAGGGATCCAAGGAGAAAACAATACATGACATAATCTAAGTGAATGCTGGACAGAGCCCAGAGTAGCCAAAAAAGACTGCCATCGAAATCCAGATCAACTGGCTCCATAGCTCTTCCAAGTGTGAACTTAAATAGAAGTCCTGTGTCCATGGACAGAGCATGTGCAGAGACCCCAATCAGCTGATCAGGGCCATGAAGGCCTATTAGTTCTCTGACACTGAAATCAGGGATGTTGGCCCTAAATCACTCCTGTGGAGTCATCCAGATCAGATCTCCGATCATATGCTATCAATCCCATGAGGAGGGGCTAGATTTGCCTGATGCCAAACCTTAGTTAAGCCTTTCACAAACTGAAAGCCCTAGGAATTATACCACAAAGACATCTAAGCTGCTGCAGGGGAAAGATTGGATTTTTCCAGGTCTATGTTGGCTTTTGGGGCCAAACGATTACAATGGAAATATTATGCTGAGACATAAGAACCAGTTCCTTGTTCAATCACAAAGCATAGATTAAAGCATCTACCTTGCAAAGGCTTTCTCGTATTTACTGGCTTTGCAGTGAGAGAAGGCAGTTGGCCTGCTTGCAGACCAGACTTGTCCTTGAAAGCCATACGCCGTGCTGATGTGGTGCTGTGCCTGCAAGCCCAGCTGAGCACAAGCCAACCACTTTTAAAGTCTTTGTATCTGCAATACAGATAAATCACCTGCAGAACTGTCAGTTGGCAATATCTGAAAGAGAAGTCTTGAATAGCGTGTGTTTAATGCAGAAACTCTTTAATTCTAATTGTGGTTTTGACAATGACTTCCTCATTTAGTCTTTCTTGGCCTCAGTTCTGTAGATTGTATCTACCTGCGAGATAGGCACTGGAAAGTAAGTTAAGATCTGGAAGCATGCTGAATACAGTTAGTTTAAGCATTAATAGTATTTTGTAAGACTGTGATTTCCTCTTCTGCCTCACTTATATTCAGATCCATTGAATCTAATCTAAATACTTTTGATTGGATATTCTTGCCCTGCAGCTGACAGATGACACATAGCAAACAAGTTTTCTAGCTATGGCCCAAGCTTTCCATGTGCCTTTGAAAATGACAACTTGAGAGTAGGCTGTAAGTCAGATGAAATGCCCTCTCTAGGGCAGTAGCTTGCCCCTATTTTCACTTTCCTTGGGAAATCTTGGGCCTTGTTCCACTGCATGACTGTCCATGAGAACAAAATTACAGAATGGCTTTGATTAGAAGAGACCTTAAAGATCATCAAACCCCAACCCCCTAACAACGGTCAGGGTTGCCAACCACTAGATCAGGCTGCACGTGGTCCCATCCAACCTGGCCTTGATCCCTCCCTAGGGATGGGGCATCCACAACTCCTCTGGGCAGCCTTCTCCACTGCCTCACCACCCTCTGAGTAAAGTATTTCTTCCTAACGTTTAACCAAAATTTACCCTCCTTTATTTTAAATCCATCCCCCCTTGTCCTAGCACTATCTGTGCAAACAGTCACTCCACTTCTTGCTTATAAGCTCCCTTCAAGTACTGGAAGGCTGGATTGAGGCCTTCCCAGAGTCTACTCTTGTCCAAGCTAAACAAAAATTATCCCTTTCCACCATGATGAACTTTCCAGCTACATGCTCTGTAGATACCAGCCTAACCACTCTGAATATCTGTTGATTATACACTGTCCAACCAATTCTTTATCTACTGAATAGTCCAGCCCTCAAATCCATACCTCTCCAACCTAGAGATAAAGATGTGTAACAGACCACAACAAAGCCCTTGCACAAATCTAGTGCATGAGAGCAGAATAACTGCTGTGCCTGGCCAACAAATGCAGTTTGGCAGTAAACACTGTGTCTATAAAGAGAGCAGCTAACGCTCTATGCACCAGCCTGATGTTTATGGCTGCTTCAAGTCTACTGCATTTGTGCAGTAAGTCCTATTAATTTGTTCCAGAGTGTGCTAAGTGCACACCTCCTCCCCACATGTGAGCTGACAGCTCAGCTTGAGAAACTTGGTGCTACAGTATTTGCCAACTCCTTGACTGAATAGTCAAATATTTCTGCTCCTTAAAGACCTCACTGACATAGGTAGGGACTATTATGGTCCTGATTACACCAACAGGTCTTAATGGCTCTGACCAGCCACACCCGTGATCCCTACCTTGCACCCCAAGCCCAGGGCCCAACATTTTTTCCTCTTTTTTTTTTTTGAAGCTATGCTATAACTATGCTGGCTTTGTCTTTTGGCTCTGTTTCCTCTTAGATCCTTGCTGCTGGATGAACTTCAGTCTTACCTTCAAATTTTATCTCCTACTGTTCCTGATCTGCCCTTGTGAGCAAACCTTGGATTTACTCAATCCACCTGCTCTGGCTACTGATGGAGCTGGTTCACAGCACCCAGCTCTGTGTTCTGCTGCAGGACTGTGCCCTATTGGCAAGGATCAGCCTGTGCTGTGGTCGCTTTTGGCTCACTCCACCTCAGGAAGCAGCATTGCCTTATTTACTGGTTACCAGGAAGACTGAGGCAAGTTATTGAGACTTGCTCAGTTATTTTCAATCTGCAAGCTATGCTTTTAGAAAAGGAAAAAAAAAATATCTTCAAAGTGTGCCAAGTCTTGTGTGGGAGAAGCTTTTGACTGGTGGTGGTTTTGGGTGTGAGTTGAGGCAAGTGAACAGCCAGCCAGCCAGATCATCTTTCCAGCTATATGATCTCTAAAGACCAGCCTAACTTCTCTGTATACTTGTCAACTCTACATCTGTATATTTGTTCATTTTACACTTAAATATTTCTTCCAGTTTGCAGCTATGCTCTTGAGTATCCTGATGTTAATGCCTTCCCCTATTATACCATCAGTCTGTCTGGGAAGAATGACAGTCTTACAGTAAGTGTAACCTGAAAGACATTAAATATGCTGATAACTTTTAAGAATGGGACATAAAAACAAGTCACTAGAGAAATTCTTTAAAGTGCTTACATGTTTCAAGGTAAAAAGAGGAAGTGATAGCAGCGAGAATGTACATAATGAAATATTGCTGTTTCTGTCAAGAAAACAGAATTCCAGAGCACTTAATATAGACAAGTAACTGAATTACATATTAACAAGTTTTAGGCTATGCACAAATTCACTGTTGAATGCACTCCTGTTAGTGCACCTCTGAGACATTTGGCATAATTTCACAATATAAGCTTCTTACTTCTTTCCTAAAAAGTGTGTGGTACACACTTCTGTAACCCACAAGGTCTAGCAAAGTATCCTCCCAACATACCACACCTCTGCTGAAAGTAAGTAGCAGCCATTTATGCAGCTACCAGACCTTTCTAGTCACTTGTAAAACTACAAAATTTTCGGATGTTGGTGCTGTTGCAATGCTTCTGTGAGAAAACTGTAGGTAGCAGAAATGAAGCTTACTGTTGGATCTGTCAAAGCATTATGATTGTGTTTCAGTGAGACCTTCTCCTGAGCAGAATCCCAAAAGAATACAAGCTGGCTGGGGTAAAACCATACCAACAGTGGCTATAAACCTGGTTACTTAACCCATAGGATAGTTGCTTTCACATTAGAGAATAACTTGATTAGATAACTTGAGCAAAAATTATGAGTTTCCCTGGTGTATTACAAACATAAGAAGGCTGAGTTAGTGGCTGCAAAGGACACGTATCAGATTTTCCCAGCAAGAGAATTCCTTGCACACCCTTGCTAAGTATTTTTTATGGCTGGGAAAAAAAATGCACATTGCAGCAGCCACTCCCCAAATAAGTAATGATCAAACAAAACAAAGTAAAGTTTTCCAAATGCCGCAACTTAATTTTTAAGAAATGTTAAAGGAAAAAAATACTAATTTCTGTTGAATGCAATTTGATATCAGCAGAAAGAAAAATGTTCCAGCAGATTTGTTTGGAAATTAGTTTCTTGTACAAGTGTTGACTGTTTTCTTCTTATTGAAAGACTGACCTTTAAAAAAGAGATTTTGACATGTTGAACTCTTGAAACTTGGCTTGATGAGTATGGGGCAAAAAGCGTGAGCAGTACAATAGTCACAGCATTGGCTTTCTGACCAGTGCTGTGTAGGTGTGCTGTCCTCACCTGAGGACAAACTTCTGTCATCGGCTTTTGAAAATAAGCTGAAGTGAATGGCTCCTGGTAAGCCCTAAGTGTTCAGCAAAGGCGTTGCGGGCAGCTAGAAAAATCGCCAAGAAAAATGTTGACATCTGCAGAGACGATTCTGGCTTTTATCACCGTGATTGTGAAACATAACTTCTGCTGTTGCAGCACCCGCTTCCCTTTTTCATGCGTTCTGAAACTTGCGCACGGACACCGAACGTTTCCATTCTCGCAGGGTACGAAGTCGTAGGAAAGCTCGGCGCTGCAGGGCGAGGCGGTCACGTACACGCTGAAGGGACGCCTGCCACGTGCCCGAGCCTCACGGTCCGACCGAACCGAGGCGCAGTTCCCGCGAGCCTCCCCGCAGCCTCTGACGCTATCGGCAGGCGCCGCAGCGCGGCCGGGC